TATCCGCTCGGGATAGTCTCCTTCCAATGTGTGTTATGCCTTGCCACGGCGTATGATCGATATGAGCGCCTCTTGACCAACCCCCCAATAATTGGAGACAGAACACGGCTCAGAAGACGACAGTCAGAGTATGTTATTGATCATGAAGCAATACGCAAATACAGTTCACGTTTCGTTTGCCATATACACGACGAATAACCTTTGAAATCAAATCAAATCCTCCATCACTCACTTCAAATATAGGTGGTAAATTAGGCGTACGAGAAACGACGTGAGGACGCACCAATCAGGTTGCGACCTTGATACTCTGATTGGTCGATTGGACGACAGCTGCCTGACTCGCCTTAGTCATCCAATCCCGAATCGATTCGGCTTGGGCGTCACAAATGCACTTGTTTGACGTGGTTCGGTGCGTGACCTGACGGATTCTATGCGCTCCGTCCTAACTATATGTCTTGTGGTTTGTGACAAAATATCTTGTCAATATGCAGATAATCTCTGTGGATGGTGATCTGTGTACTGGTACGGACTGTCTCATTTCAAGTGCTCCTGTCCAAGTGACGGCATATCGGATTCAATGCTAATGGTCGTGGACCAGTTCTGCTAGGGTTTTCGTGGAATTCATGAATCTATGAGTCCAGATGCAGTGGGATTTGCACCACTGACGACATGAATGCTCAACTTTATCGGTTATGTGTTGTGGTGTTTTACCACTCGCGTTACATGTTCATGCATCATATATGCGTATGAAATGGTTCAACGGGAGTGTCTGAGACCCCGTCTGCGTTTTGCACCTTCAACGTGGAAAAGGCTGCTGCAGAGTTGGTTCAGTTCCCAATCTTAATCTAACCAGGGGAGGAATAGAAAGAGTAGACATTTTTGTTTTCTGTTTAGACAGCTGCCATATAATGCAGAGAATTTACAGTACGGGAAGGGGGGTCGAAATAGACTGTCGGTTTCTGAGCATTGCTGTCTAAATCGCGCTGCACCGGAATCTAGTGGGAAACCGGGCAAGCCGTTTGTTAAGGTCAGGCGCATTTTCTACGTAATTGGTCGCTCACCAGGGCAAGTGCTCGATTTCAACAGTTTTCATTGATTGGATTATGTTTTGTGTACGCACCATCAAATACATTTCCTCGTCTTTTGGTGTTTGCCGATCCACGTAATGGGTGGATAAAATCAAAGTGCGACCTGAATTAAGGGTTTAAAAACTCTGACCAGGCGACATGGTTATATGGGTCACGTTAGGTTTCCAGGAACTGGGGATCGACGTAACCGACAGCTGGAGACCCTCGATAATTTGGCTCTGTTACAAACAGTGGCACTCGCGCGCGTCTTTTAAGCTCCACCATTTTAGTCTACCGGAGTTCTCTATTTTTTCAGTTTTTTACACATAGAGTGATTTAGAACAAAAGGGTAAACCCCATAATCAATGACCTACTACTGTAATGGGAAAGATATATGGGAAGCATTCAAGTAGGAATCAATTTGTCAACCCTGCTTTTGAAAAAAGTGAGATTGTCCTTGCTTGGACACACGGAGATTGGAAGTGTGTTCCACGATTTCGCAGTCCTGGGGAAACAAGAGACGATTGGAAGATAAGGGTTGGACATCTGGGGAGAGAAAACTGATAAGGTTGATAGCTCGCCTAAGAACGAGATGGACGGGAAAAGGTTAAGAGCTGGGGGAACCAACGAAACGAGTTCCAAAGGGCACAAACTAAAATAGTAAGGATAGAAAAGAGATGAAGAAACAACTGACCGGCAATGGGAAAACGACTTAAGGTTGGTAGTTAAAGGTGGTTAAATCGATCAGCCGGGTGTTGACCACGGTTGAGAAGAGAAAGAGCGGAATACGAAGCTCCACTACATACATGATTGGAGTATTCTTTCAGAATTCCAGTTTTCCCTGTACTCCTTCATCCAGAAGAGATCTATTGAAACCACTGCACTCAAGACATGACTAATGATTGTATAAACTTAAACGTATGAAACGTTCCCATCTTTTAATTTGCAGGACATGAATAAACTGCAGAAATACTAGGCAGTAATGAGAAATGTACTACTTGTTTTGCTTTTAACGAACGTGCTCGTGATTTTGAGAAGTCAACTTTTATTTTTGCATCAGTCCGATAGTTTGACCTGGACGGATATGAAAAAGAGACTGGGGATCGTAAATGCAAAATAGTACACTTTCTGGAGAAGAGGGGTTTTTGTATTGGCCTTGTGCATACTTGTTTGTAGCAGGACATCTCTTCACTAACGAACTTGTTTTGCGATTCACAAGCACCCGAGGAACCTGGTAGCATCCATCTCAGCCCTCGTTCACTAAACACGAATTCTACTGAACAAAATCATCCTGATCGTGAACCTAGTATCACGACAAAATACTTGTCCCAATAAACGGTACAACTACGCTGTACAGTTTTACAATCGTTTCATTCGCTTCTTTCGCACGACCGTCCGGGTCAGCGGGAATGCATTGAGTTGCTAAACCAGGAGAAACGGACACCCCACAACCGTACCTTATTGTTTGTGATTGAATTCGGATGTTTCGGGACAGACCCTCCTCCTCCCCGAAAAAAGCTACGATTCGGATGTCATCTGTCTATCTCTCACACACAAAAAATGAACAACATAAGCACATACTTGACCGAAGCGGTTAACCCGATGAGTCCTTTGTGCAAAAATGATAACTTATTTACTTTGAGGTTGTTTGTTTGATTCTACATGACGATGAGTCGGCTTCATAGATAAATCCATGAAAATTGTCGGTACATCTTTGGTTCTTGTATGGCCAAGCGATACTTGCAGGTCAGCAGAACGATTACAATAGTTTATTTGGATGTAGATCACAGTTGTACGCGTGGCGGTTGTTTCCATAGGCTTCTAAATGCAAGCAGAGATCTCTTGCCCGACGGAAACTGGTCATGTCTTCAAACATCCTTGCTCATCTTCCGGGNTGTCGCGACCTAGTGGCGGATCCGGCAGCATTCGACTGCGCTGACCATAGACTTGTGATAGCCCACGATCTGTAACCGCACGAGAGCGAGTACGTGTAATGCATGACTAGGGCGCCTTGGAGCAGAAGACTGATTTTTCGGAAGCGAGCGGTGTGTACAAACGATCGCGCCGACATGACTATCTTGTATTGTGCACATGTACTGCGTACATGGTAGGTCGTCAGTGATGATTAAAACAAGCATGACAACAGCGATCCATCATTATTTATTTTTCAGAGAGCTAGCAAATGTCCCACAACATATGAACAAAGAAATCTGTAGAATGTGTTCACAGGTTGTGTGGGCATGTTACCTCGCGGTTGCTCTGACCGAGCAAGGGGTTTACCTATGGGTCGCCACCCGAAGCCTTTGGCTAGAAATCCAGGTCTGTAAGACAACAGGATGGAGGTCAGAGTCCGCAGTCCATTGGGGGCCGGTGTCGAGTTCATTGGATCATACACCCTTTGGAGGGGATCAAATGTCTAAGGTGACCAATGCCACAAACAGAAAGGTGTGTGTGTGTGTGTGTGTGTGTGGTTCGCACACTTCTTGGTTGGTTTAGAATCAGGGATTGTAACCAACTCCCCTAGGTTCACCCACCCAATTATAGCTCCGGATGTCGGCTTTTCGTCTCCTCACTTTAGTGGGAAAACACCGCCACGAGAAAGCAGTGAGTGTAGCTTCCTCAGCAGAGGCTATTTGATGCGCTTGGTCGTATGGGAGCATTTCGCTGGATGTAATGGAATCCGAGACACCCACCCCGACCATACTGGGGCTTTCGGAGCGATTTACGTAACTGGTGCTATCCGTCTAAACGTGTAATCGGTCTATCCGGGGAGAACTGGGTGTGTTTCCATCGCCATACTTATTCGTACTTTCTGTTGGATAAAGACGTGACTTTTTGAGCAGAGCTGTTGTGAGTGTAATCGTGTTTACCATTGGTTTGTTCAGTGTCTGAGATACACTTTTCGTGAACATGATGTGAAAAGACGACGGGATGAGGTTCGTTGTCTTCTCGTTCAGAGTGGACTCTGAATAAATGTATGATTTTTCGTATCAAGTGCTCAGTGCCTTCTGAAGACTGACTTAGTATTTGTTGTGAAATCACGGTTCGTTTGTAGAAATAAATGGTGAGGAAACCATCCTAGAGTCCCGGTACTTCATTAACTGAACACTCGGCAAGTGCCGGTTCAACTCACGCTAAGCAATCTTGATTCCATGCCTTTCGTCACGGCCAGTCTTTCGGAACTTTTTGAATTAGCAATCCTGCTCAGGTGTGCATTCGTGGATCATGTTTTCATAGTTGTAGTCTGGCTTTAGGTTGTCATTCTATCCCTTATTTAAATTGATCTGATGCACTGGTTTCCTAAAATAGTTTCCAAAAATCACCCAACTCTCCTTTGATCCGAACCCTTCGAATGCTCTTTCTCTCATCATCATCGTCATTATTATCATTATTATTATTATTAAAATATCGGTAATTGAATATTAATATAGCTTGCGGTCTCGATCCCTGTCGAATTGAATAACAAATATAAAAGCTTCCTCATCTTGGCTATCTTATTTCAGGCCAACCGGAAACATGTTTTTCGGACGGCTCATGTGTCGTCTTCGCAAACCAGTATTGCTCACGCAATCAAACACCCATTTCCGATCTCGACCTCAGATCAGTCGATGGTTGCATCGTTCACCAGGACAACATTGTCATTCCTCGTCCGCTTTTCAACCGCCTTTCGATCTCCACCTGCTCAGTGATCCGGATTTTCGCGAACAGACTCGTGCAAATCTACTGGCTCGAGAGTCCCCGCTCGACTTTGATACAATGGTATGTGCCTTCCAGCGAATCGCATTGATGGAGTGATCTTTTCACACCATAGTTGATCAATGCTCTTTCTCGCTTTTTTGTATTTGATCTGGATTTTCACTCAAATTCACGATCTAACACATTACGCTATAGCACTTCTGTTCCCTTCCTTCTTGGCGGAGTCAGCGGAGTGTGTGGTGTATCTCAGCGCTGTGAACACGATTCCTGTACCGACAGTAAAGTAATCAAGTTACTCGGATTACATTTTTCCCTTAAATTTATTCTCTGGTCATTTTTGTTTCGTAGTTACGGATCAGGATGGAGATGTTGATGATTGCACAATAAAGTCCTCTTATTACGGTTTTTGTGTTTTATTTAAGTAAAATCGATTTTCAGAAAGAGAAAAGCTATTAATAGAAGGACTATGAAATGCGTATGTCTGACAATGATGATGAGCTACAAACACTATCACCGGGCAAAGCGATGGTCCAGTTGGGAGCCACGTAACTCGTCAGTCTGTTGGTCTTCGCTACTATGTGACCATGTGTTAAATTTACTACGTTCAAATAAATGTTATCCTCAAATAAAAATGTTTGTTTACTTTTTTGTTCGTGAAAAAGTAGCGGCGACTTATGTTTAAGACGTTCCGTTAGCTAACAATATATATATATATATATTGTAATAATTTATGTGACTAACTAGATAAAGTGTGAGAAAAGTGGAGGAATTGATTTGATTGTATAATGAATTCGTCGCATAAATGAGGTGCGAACCGAAAAGCATGCAGTCGGTTTCGCGGTTCCTGTCGCTCGTATCCGGTAATATTTTCCTGTTCATTCACATATAATCTGACATCCGCCGGATCACTCACTACCAGCCTATATTTATTTCACTATTTACAGTTGAATCTATACGATCGTTATTGCTCGGGAGAAACAAGCTTGCACGCAGACTTATTAAAGTTTGTACGTCAATTACCCAACTCTACTCATCCGCTAACGGTGAGTGTCGTTCTTGTTTTTGGTACTGTTGCCTCACTGTCCAGCATTCATGTGATATATAAAGCTCCAGCGGAGGCTGATCTGTTCTGGCTTTGTTTATCTTGCACACAACCGCTGCGGCTTCACATGCACCTACCGAGGTCCGTACCGATACCCCTTATTTTACGGACCTGATGGTATAGGCGATGATTGGGATGTGTTACTCCCTTGTATACGCGCATATCCTCGTCGCTTTCTTGGCATTGGCTGTGGTTGTAGTGAATAAGCAGCCCGAATAACTAAACTTTGTAATCCACATCCGGTCAGATTTGGTTTCTCATAAAAATGGTCCATCAGTGATAAGCCTACATTCATGCGCTGTATACGTCTACCCCCCCC